ATACCCAAGAAAGACGGAGGTAGATCATGGGGGGGGGCTGACCATATATATATATATATATATATACATATGTACGATTATATAGATAAGTAGATAGATAGATAGATAGATAGATGTCTTATCCGTACGACTCTACGATTGGGAATCCTGGAACCCTGAACCCTTAAGCCTCAACCCTCAACCCTAAACCGCAAACCCCAAACCCTAAACCATAAACCCGCAAACCCTGAAACCCCAAGCCCTAAACCCTAAAGTTTAGGCCCTAAAGCCTCAACCCTAAAACCTAAAGCCTCAGGCCCTAAAGCCCAAACCCTGGACCCTAAACCCTAATCGAGAGCTCAAAAGCCCGAGGCTGGATCTGCTAGCCGAGGGCGCGGTCCTGGTTGGAGACCCAGGATTCCTATAAGGGGTTGAGGGTTTAGGGTTGGGGGTTGGGGTTTAGTGTTTAGGGTTTAGGGTTGAAGGTTGAGGGTTTAGGGTTGAGGGTTAAGGGTTTGGGGTTTAGTGGTTTAGGGTTTCGGGTTGAGGGTTTAGGGTTTAGGGTTGGGGTTCAGGGTTTGGGGCTTGGGGTTTGGGGTTTAGTGGTTTAGGGTTTAAGGGTTTCAGGTTTGGGGTTTAGGGTTTAGGGAAAGGGGTCTTTAAGTTTGAGGGAAGGTCAGAGGGGAGAGCCGGGAGAAGGACTGGAAAATCCGAGTGCCACCAGGACCTGCAGGAAGGTGACCTGCCACAGAAGGTGCGATTTTGGGAGGAGCGCCTGGATGATAACACGCAGCTGTTGAACTGGGATTTCGAATGCCTCGTGGCCGATGAAGAAGACTTGCAGGAGATGCAGCTGGCACCGTCCCAGGTTGCACCTGCCACGGCTGCCGAGGCGCTGCAGGTGGCTTATCGCAACTGCGCGAGAACAAAGCACGGCTCATGGAAAACACATCGATGCTCAACGAGCAGCACGATGCCCCTCGCCGACGCGGAGGAGGCTGCAAAAGAAGGGTCGGCTGCTGGAGGACCGACTTGAGGACGATACAGCCTACCTCAACTGGGTGGGTGCTTACCTCCAGTATGCCGACCTCTTTAGAATGCCTCGCGGCCGATGAAGAGGTTGTGCTGGCTTCGGGAACATGGTTGAGGGTTTAGGGTTTAAGTTTGGGGTAAGGGGTCCCCTTGTGTTATTCTCAGGGGTTTAGGGTTAGGGGTTTGCGGTTGTTCTTCAAGGTGTTGATGGCTGCAATATAGAAACTTGATGAAACCGGATAACTTTCAATATTGTTACTTGTTATTCTTTTGGATTCCATACCACATTTGCGGTATGTTGTTAAGCCCCTGCAACTGCGACAGGGCTTTATGGCGCTCTCTATGCCTGACAAAGTGTCGTAATCAGGGGTTCATAGGGCCGTTTTCGAGTGGGTTTTATTATAGAGTTGGCTCTGTGCTTTGCTATGGGGTGTTGGGTTTTGTGTTTTTTTCATGAGGAGCTGTTGAAATGAACGCTACCAGAAGTTTTCGTAGTTCAGAGACCCAAACTGGAGAAGTCCTCAGGGTTTAGGGGTGGGGGGGTGTAATATAGAAGCCTCTATAAATACCAATTGTATTTTTTGGGGGTTCCTTAGTCTAAATCATAGTATCATATACCCCAAAGCCCTATTCTAATTATGAAGGCCCATACATGAGGGAATGCATTGGCCTCAATAGTGAGGCTAGACAGCGGTTAGGCTCAGGGCTCTGGATTGGCCATGGTGTTCGGCACAACTGTATACGCATATACATCTGTTCCTGTATGCATCTATCTGTCTATCTATCTAGCTATCTATCTATCCATCTGTCTAACTATCCATCTATCTACCTGTCCATTTATCTTTCTATCTATCCATCTATGTATCTGTCTATGCAAACACAACTTGTGCAGATGTGTGTGTGTGTGTGTTTGTTTTCATTACAGTAAGCAGTTTAGGCTTGACATAGAATTCAGAGCAGAGGGGCCGTGCCAGACTGCCCGTTAAGATCATCTTTTGTTGCTTTAGGGTTTAGGGTTACAGGTTCAACCCTGAAGCCAACCCCCAAACATACCACATTCTCTATGTCACATCCTAGATTTGCTCAGCTTCGGCTTTAGAACCTCGAGTCTTGCCTCTTAAACTCAGAAGCCTCGCCCTCTTGCAGGGCGGGTAGGGTTCGGGGTAGTTCCGGTTCAAAGTACAACCACGGGGTCACCTAACACAGTCTCAGACTCATCCATCATAGGACAGCCATGAAGTTACAACATTAGTCCTCATGCCCTCAAGGTAAAGTATAAAATCCTAGCAGTAATGATCCCAAGCCCATGTTCCAAACTTCTGGGATTCGCTGTAAACCCTAGACTACTTACCTAGTGCAAGAAGACGAGGCTGGGGTTGGAAAGCTCCGAATAATAAGTGACAGTATACCCTAATAGTCACCACAGGGGATTTTCCGAAAACAAGGGATACCTTATTTTGGGGTCCTTTTATAAGGATCCTACTAGTTGGGGTACTATATTGGGGTCCCCTATTTTTCGGAAACCCCATATAATTTTCGTACTTGCATATACCACGAGCCCTCTTGAAATTATCAAGAGCACATCTATTACAACATCGGAGCCGGGCCCTAGAATGCAGTACCTTTCTCGGACCCGTTATGTGTTTGCCATAACAAGAAAGTAAGGCAACGAAAAGAAGATACGACATTTTGGGGTCTGGGTCCTAGGTACTCTGAGAGTTAAATGTTTCGGATTGGAAACCAGGTCGGGGACTGACGGTGTGAGGTTGGGGATTTGAGTGTTGGGAGTTTGGGACGTGGGGTTGAAGTTCTAGGACTTAGTGAGGAGGGCTCTGGTTTGGGGGCGTAGTTTCTCTTGAATGGTGATTGGAGGCTTTTAGTGTTGCGTTCACCCAGGTTTGGGATTTGTTTCTTCGTTTTCCGGCCGAAACTGCGACCAGAGCAAGACAACGGGTCCACTATAACCCAGGCTATCCAAACACCTTCACCTTAAATCCGAAACCCCTAGCCGCGAAGCGAAATTACCGTTAACCGTAAGCATTAACCAAAAATGCTTACTACAAACACCTCCCCGCTTCTTGTTGTCCTAAACCCTGAACCCTTGCTAGAATAGGCTCCGTTAGTGACATTCCGAAAATATCAGACTTCAATATCGAGCCTACAGACTAGGGTTCTTATTGCAACAGAACTCCCCTCCAACAAAACACACAAAAGCAAACAAGGCTGCAGTTGCTTGCCTCGAGACTTTCGTACACAACCGTGTAAACTCCCAGCAAACCTATAACACAAGACCGTGAACATTCCACGTCTCAGAGCTGACAAGCTAGTGGACTGGATAATTTGAGCAATACTATTCCTCAAAATTCCGAAGTCGACTTCTATCAGAAGATACTGTAATTTCTAAGGCCCCTATATAAATCGTTGACAGCCCTAAACCTTAAACTCCTAGACTCCTAAACCCTAAATCCTAAACCCTAAAGTGCCCTAGGTAGCCGACAGACTTCTTGAGCCGATGGCGCCAGAATTCCTTTGGCTTCTCTTGAGTGGCGGACTCTTCGAGGTTCCGGCAGGGTTCCTTGAAGAGTTGCTACAAAGGTTCCTACAGGGGTTCCATGAGTCTTCTGTTGGGTTTTGGGGCTTCGCGATTTTGGGTTCATCTGTAACCCCAAAATTGCAGTTTAGAGTTTGGAGTGACAGGTCGGACTTATACGCTTTAGCAATTGGAGCCCTGTCATGATCGGCTTCTGGAGAGCTCCTAGTGTTTAAGTTTAAGTCTTTTAAGCCGCAAAGGCGTAGGGCTCCAGGAGCTCGAGTCTTCGAGTTTGAGGGTTTGGTCTTGCGAACTTGGCGTCGAACGGAGGAAGCCATTTCTGGATTTTGTAGTGGTGTGTTGATAGGGTGCTTTGCACGCTTAAGTCTGTTGACCATTGGGTTACCAGTGGGGACTTTCTACATTCCTGCCATGTGTCGGCAATTGAATGACTAGGCCTTCAGCCGCTGCCAGCTTGGATCATCTTAGTTCTCCAGTACCCAACATTTAAACTTGTTGGGCTCTTCTAGTTTAAATCTGAAAATTTGGCCTGTTATTTTCCTGGCTTATTGCGGAAGTATGTCATGCGTGTTCTCTCGGCCTCTAGATTTCCGGGCTTAAGTGGCGATCCCATGGTGGATCCCCGAAACCCGACCCGCACGGGCTTCAGCAGAGCAATATAGGGGCCCGAATAATTTCCCTTTACAATCTTGGGTGTTCCTTATTATGATTGTAGTATAATGGGCTTCAAAATCTTATTCGAATTATTCAGGCCCCTACATTAGTTTAATATTAGCTCAAGCTTCTTGCCCTCGTGGTCCTGCCGAGGATTCGTCCCCCAACACAGGCCGTAGGTATGGGCCTGCCGTAGAATAAAATCCAGAGCGCGAGTTGTCGGGGATTATTGGCTTCAATGTTGCATCAATGGAAGCGGAACTGAACTTGAATCAAGTTCCTGTCCTTTCCATGAGCCCTAGGCCCTAAACCCTAAACCCTTAAAGCCTTGAAGCCATAAACCCTAAACCCTAGACCCTAAATCCTAAAACCTTAAAGCCCTAGGCCTTAAACCCTAAAGCCCGAAAGTCCTAACCCGCATCCAGGCCTTGTGCTCTGAACCCTAAACTTGAAATGAAGATGAACTGAAAAAAGAGCCCTTGTTCGTCAGAGTAAATCGAGTAATTAAGATCAACGCCAGGATCTTCAAGCAGAAGTTCGAAACTTGTCCTGATTCCTTTGTTAAGTTCCGTTGGTCACGTTGGCCCTAAACCCTATAAACCATTTTAGGGTTTGGGGTTTAGGGGTTTAGGGGCTTCCGTCCCATAGACCACTTTAATCCCCGGTCGAACCTTTAATAGCCCCAAAACCTTTAAAACACTTGAAAAGCCTGTAGAGGCCGATTGAATCCTTTAAAACCAGACAAAAAACCTAAGCCTTAAACCCTAAACCCTACAATTCCAGTCTTTGCAGCCTCGAAGGAGACCGTGGTCGTTGCCACCGAAGTTCTGGCCTCGGAACAATCTAGCGCCTCATAGTGGGATCTGGGTTCTTGTGAAGATATTCAGTTCAAGTTACCATAACAGGAAAACCACATCATGTGCCATGTATCCCTATTGTGGTCCCTTAGATTGGTATTCTAGTCCGGCTGACTTTCTCTACACCCAAGACCCCCATTACCCTAAACATCGTGCTGAGCCCTGAAGTCGCGTCTGCAGTGTTGCTTCATCAGGGTTTGGGGCCTTCAGAAAGAAGACATAAGAACTCATCGTGGTTTAGAACTTAGGGCTTAGCTTAGAGTTTACAGAGTTTGGAGCTTAGGACTGAAGGTGTGAATCGGGGGTTCGGGGGCTTCGTTGCTATAGGTAATAAGTAGAGTTACAAGTGCGCGAAAAGGGATCCTAATTGGGATTATGGTATGTGCAACGCTTTAGAATAGCTACCCTTCTTCAAAGAATTCCCCCCCTAAACCATAAACCCTTAAAGAACGTAGCCCCTAAAGGCTTCGTGAATCCCTCGGCCCGTCAAGTGCAGCCCGGAAGACATTGGCTCTATAAAGCCTACCAGAGCCGAGGACGAAATAAAGAACCGTAGTACCCTAAACGCCGAACCAAAACTTAAAGCGGGCTTCGGGTGTAGAGCAAGCTCAGCATGATTCCAACCGACACCTTACTTTAGGTCCTACTGCTACACCCTCCGAACCCTGCACCCCTCAGCAGGATTTGGTGTTAAACGGTTAAGCATTGAACCACTCAGCCCTAAACCCTAAACCTAAACCCCAAGCCCTAAACCCTAAACCCTAAGCCATAAACCTAAACCCTAAACCCGAACCCTACACCCTAAACCACTCGACCCCAGGCTCTTCGACCCCTAGACCCGACATGCCCTCCTCCGAGGATGGGAATTGGAGTCTGGTGGCAAGTCACTACCGGGGCGTCGCCGAGACGCAGAGGTTCAGGGTTTGGGGATTGGGGTTTAGGGTTTAGTGGTAGACTGTGGCGTCAGCTGTTTAGGCAACGGCCTTGGAGTTCAAGGTCCAGGGTTTAGAGTTAGGGCTTCAGGCTTGGGGATGAATGCCGGGTAACGGAGGGATCATTGCGGGAAGACTGCTCAAGACGAAGCTTGTTCGATGCTCTTTGGTCCGTAGACCACAACAGAACATGAGCCCACAATATCGAGACCTGCTCGCTCCCTTGTACGGATCTTAACTTCGCAAGTTTATGTTTAGGTGTTCCCGTGCCTCCTGTAGAGCTGAGGCGGCGGCATCGATTGAGTGTGAGTGCAAGGGGAATGTCCGAGTCTTGTGCTTTTTGGTTTTCCGGATCTGAAGAAACAGCGCTGGAATTCAGGCCATTCCAGCTTTATAATGCCATGGTTTGGGCCGTAGGCCCTGCACCCTCCAAACCGCGAATACCATGAGCCGTTTAACTTTAACAAGAGCCCTGGAAACACAGAAGGCTTTGCACACACAAACCCGACACCCTGAACGCGTGTTGAGGTTGGCACCCGCACAGGAAGGATAGTGATTGGGGCCCGCAAATTCTTGCAGATGCATTCTCCATGGCCTCATCATCCCACAAAGCCACGAAGCACTGAAGCTGGCAGGTTTGCAGCAGAGAGGTCCAGGTGCAGCGGCATGAGAACTTTCTGAGGGGGTGGGATGTCTTTCCGCTTTCCACTGCCATCCCGAACTTTGAACTAATCCGAAACCCTGCCCATAGGATAGTGGTCTTAGCAAGTAGACTAGGGCCTTGGGCTATAACATATGTTTTAATATACCCACAAAATAGTACTGGCAATTTCCAAGCCCCAAGGTTAGGCCTATGGATCTGAATGCCCGTTACATTTGATAGTGAGTAGCATGGAGCAGCTTGACATTGACGGTAGTTCTCTAAGTTAGGGCCCCTTTCTAGGTCCCCAAATAGTACGGCACACCTATAAAAAGGACCCTAAAAGGGACCCTGGTTCAGAGAGCTACCCATGAATTGTATATTGGCGGGTCCAGTTTTTGGAGGGCTTTGTGCTGGATGCATAACTGTATAGAACTGCCAGAAACATCAGAGAAGTAAGCCAGGCGATCCACAGACATGTGGAGGACGCCGGCAACAGCAAGATGGCTTTCATATTTTAGGACTCGCATGCAAGGAGTATCAAGCTTTGGGATGCAATGCAAGCAGAAGTCTCTAAGGCTTTATTGATGCAAAGGGCTAAAAGGATGAACAACTACCGCCAAAAAGCGAAGGTGAAAATGATGATTCCAATCAAGATAAGAGTTTCTGGGCAAAACCCGGAAGACGATCCTCTTCCATGGAAGACAGTGATGAGATGGAAGAGTACGACACCAATAGCAGAGCCGAAACGTCATTGATATCAGACGAAGTTGAAGGAGGAGACAAAGCAGGGCCTCATGAGGTTGAGGAGAGACCTTCCGTTGCACTTAAAATACCAACATCGATTACTGAAATGCCCCAGCCTGTAGCAGCACTGAATGCAGCATAATTGAGCTGCGTTGCATCATCTACTGCCCTCCCCAGGCCATGCCAAGTTTTCGGGTTCCTGCTAGCTTGACAACAGAGTTTTAATCCCATGGTGAAACAACCAACCCCTGTACTGCCAGAAGGACCTATCCCCCCCCCCCCTCTCCCCCCCAATGCCAAGCCACAACAAAGCAACGCGAGGTGGACGGGTGTCTCGTACCCTTGGCCCTCACGACCCCCGGAAGCGGTTTCGCAGCTCAGGTGGAGGGGTGAAGGGGTACTGGTCTACGGTCTACTCAGAGGATCATGGGACTAAATGACTAGCTATGCTTGTAGCTACTTAAAACCGCAATTCAGGTTCGTATTAACCTGACTTACTAAGTCCCATGATCCTCCAAGCAGGATTTCAAAGCAGGGTTGGAGGTCGAACCGACGAGTTGCGAAGTACTTGGGCCAAGAATGTAGCGATTTTGGGTTTTCGGAGTTCAGGCTCACGCGGCACAGAGTGCTTCAGGAAGACCAGAAAGTGGGAACTCGCATGTTGCACTGTAATGATGTTTGCTGCGCTTGAATTACAGAGTATTTCCGGCCTGTGGGATGCAGCGGATCAGTCGTGCAGAGTTGTAAAGTTGTGGAAATTGCATCTATGCACGACTGAAGCCAAGGCTGAGGTTGACCCTCGAATTGGTAAGGTTGAACATGTTGGGACAAGGGTTCCTGATCTCGACGAACACCTGGTTCCAAGCCCGATGCTGTTAGGCACGGTAGTGCAAGGCCGAGCCCATATCCCGAAGACACTTCTACAACTACAACATCGCACTCCAGACCCCTAAAACTCGAAAGCCTGGACCCTAAGACCAACAGCTCGCAACCGATCGTCGCGCCTGGCAAGGCACTCCGCAGATGAGGCGCGCCGGCGCACTGTCGCATGGCGGTTCCGAAACCGACTGGCCGACACCTGAGCGCTGGCTCCTGCCCGGCCGACGGCCATAACAGCCCTCAGAGCATTCAAATTAACTACCAAAAACCATCCCAAAGGGTCCTGGGTACTGCTGTTACGGGGACACTTTCCCAAATCATAATAATGCTTCCTAGTATAAACGCTTTACATTCCACTTTATAGGTATAAACGCTTTACATTCCACTATATAGGTACTTAGGACCCTTTCGGCATGTAGACCCCGTAAAGCGTGTCGAGCCCTACCTTTCTGCTCTTTCGTCTCTCAGATTTCAGCACTAAACCCTAATAACCCTAAACCCTGAACCCGAAACCCCAAACCTCTCTTAGCCATGTATTTTTAGACTTTAATACCCTCATCGTTTCAGTATCAATTGTCCGCTTGGGGCAAGTGTCGTCTAAACTTTAAAACTCTTATCCGTTTAGCATCAATATTCCTTAAGGCAAGTATCCTCTAAACTTTAATACCCTTATCAGCCTTATCAATTTAAGGCAAGTTTTCCATTTCCGGCCCTGTGGCTCAGGATTTTGCCGAAATCTGCAATCGGATTTTGCGACGATAAATTTTAGATGAAAACGAGTATTTTCAGCTTAGGCCGGGCGTCGATGTCTAGGTACCCTTTTTCTTTGTGCACGTCTGCTCTAAACTGCGCTGATTGCCTAAACGCTAGGGTTTGGGGCCTAGGGTTAGGGCCTCGGGTTTAGGGCATAGGGTTTGAGGCTAGAGTTTAAGGCATAGGGTTTAGGCGTAGTGTTTAGGGTTTAGGACTTATGGCTCTGGGCTGCCCGTGGGGTTTAGTTTTGGGCTGGGCTGGCTTGTAATTAGGGTTTACGATTCAGGGCTTTGGGCTGGCCTTTAGGGTTTAGGGTTTAGGATTTAGGGCTCTGGGCTGGCCTTTAGGGTTTAGGAGTCAGGGCTCTGTGCTGGCCTGTAGGGTTGAGATACGCCACCTAGCATATATTCGCTTGTTGTACGATATATGACCGTCCAGACGACGACATGAAGTCATGTAAGGGTGCATGAAGTCCGACTGTAAATGGATTTCATTTATTTGAGTGGAGAAACTTTGTGTTTCTATGGGATTCTAAGGGTGGGTGGGTGTTATGCCTAAACCCTGAATGTAACCTTACCCTAAAGCCCAAACCCCAAACCCTGAACCCTAAGCCCTAAACCCTGCTTTGAACCGCTGGAGGTCGCAGGGCCGACTCCGGCATCGAACGAAGATCTCGAGGTGCCTCATTCTGCCTCAAGCTAGTTTGGGATTTCAGGCTTAGGGTTTGGGATTTATGATTTATATTGGGTTTAGGATTCTGGGTTTAGGATTTGAGATTCAGGGTTTAGGGTTTAGGGGTGCCTCCTTTTGCTTCGAGCTTAGGAACCTAGGGTACCATGCACAGCAAATAAGATGTTATAGTGTGTTATAGTCAGTTATAGTGTACTATACTATAGTATATCACAGTATACTCTAGTATACTATTGAACGTTATAGTTATGTTATAGTAGTATTTTAAAACATATTATAGTATATTATCATCATTATAACAAAGTGAATCCTGGGGCTGAGTAGGCCAGACATGTCCGAAGCACCGGAATGATGGCGGAGGCTGCAAGGCGCGCGTATGAGGCGGTGGGTCTCCGGCCGGCACAGCGGTTCGCCACAAGGCCCTTCATGGATTGGGTTTGGGCTTCAGGAGATGATTGTATCTGTCTTGACGGGGTTGAGGCGGGTGCTTCAACCTTCAGCTATGTTCCCGGTACGGGATCTTCACTTTGGCAGCATCTTTAATTCTGTCGAGTTGTTGTTGCAGAGCAAAGTGGCTGCAAATGGCTGCTTGTTCGAACAATCTGCAAGGCCCAGCACCCTGCCTTTGTACGCCTCTTTTAGGGTTTAGGGTCCTAAACCCCATTTAAACCCTAAACTCACGCACCCAGCAAATCTCAGATCCAAAGCCTATAAGGCCTGAAATCGTTGAGCCCCGTGGCCGCTTAACAAGCCCGGTCTTTTGCAGCACAACAGCGCTGCAATAGCTTCTTCCACTGTCAACATCCTTTTTGTCCCAAAACCATAACATGGGTAGTTCTCCAAATTAGGGTCTCATTTTCGATCCCAAATAGAGTACGCACCCTTACAAAAAAGGACCCTACAAGGGACCTTCATTTAGAGAACTACCCAAATTTTCAGCCGGCTTTTTGGATCCTGCCACATGCCTTAAGACACAAAGCCCGTGTAAAGAAGCTGAAGGTCCAAACCGTGAGGCTGGAACACTAAAGCCCCGAAGCCCTAAACCCGAAACCTCCTGTAATCCTGAGCCCCCGAAGCATGCAACCCCTAAGATCCCCCAAGCCTTTCCATCGTCACCGGGCTCTAGACTTAAAGCCCTAGGGTTTATAGGGTTTAGGACTTAGGGTATAAGCCCCAGGCTCTTAACCCTTGAGAGCGTCACCAGGCATTTCCAGCTACCGAGCAGAACAGACCTTAAACCCCTAAACACTGAAACTCCAAACCCTAAACCCCAAAGGCCCCAAAGCAACCCTCGTCTAATCCCCCTCGACGCCCTTGCTTGAGGCGCCCCTCTGGTTGGGAGATCGACTTCGCCAGCAACGGCTTGAGGGCCACGTAGGGCTTATAGGGTTCATCCCTAAACCGTACCCCCAAAGCCCTAGACCCTAAAGCCTAAGACACGGTATTTATTGGTAGAAGAGGGTCCCGGAAGCAGGTTTGAGAGTTGGAGTTTGGATCTGGGGTTTGGGTTGCTCAAACGTAAATTCAATGCCGAAGCTCCAGACAGAGACTGTCGGTTACATGAGGAGTCGGTCTCAAGATCAGGCCAAATCCAAACTCTGAGCCTCAAAGTGAAAGAAAACTTCGGGAAATCCCGTGCCGCCGCGGACAAAAGTAGCGCCTGTCTCGCATTAGTTTGGGGCCCGTCGCAGTGTGCGTGTTGCTTCGGGAATTTGGTATCCGAGGTAAGGACAGGCAAAGCACAGCCTCCGGATATCGGTTACAGGCATCTGAGGGATCAGAAAAAGTTGCCACGAAGAACATCACAATAATCCTGAGCTCTAAATGTTTAGCCCAACACCCCAAGCAGCATCCGCTAAAATCAGAGATCTGTGGATCTCAAGTCGAGGCTGCTTCTGACCTTCTATTCTACTGGCACCCAAACTGTCCAGACTCATAAGCATACTTTGGGCCCAAAGTGTAGCTAGTACCAACCTTGTGTTTTTGGTGTATTAGGCATTTAGATTTCCCGTAAATTTCCTTCCGAGCCCTGAAAGCGCACACCCTGTACGAACCCCGAACCCTGGTAAAGCTATTTCCTGGAGCTGTCATCAGCCCGGGAAATGACAACAAACAATCAAAGACCATACAGACTGCTTGCTCGCACAGTACGTGTTTTCTTATTGACTTGCTTGCTTGCTCGCTGCTTATTAACTTGTTTGCTTGAGTTTGCACACAGCTATGTGCAGCTTTCCTTGCTTATCACACTGACGACACTCAAAGTCGTGCGTCGGGTCCAATCTGTCTGTGTGTGAATATTTTTAGGGTTTCATGAGAGAATATGAGGGACACAGCTGACAGAGTCACAAGGGGTGGGTCGCGCGTCTCGTTGGCTGCAGCGACCATCCAGACGAGCGTGTCTCCGCACAGCAAAGCATTTTCATCGATTGAACTTGCGATCGCAAGCTTCTTCCTGCGACCGTGTAGTAGCAGTCTTCCAGCACTGCTGTCAGATCCGTGCAGCTGACGCCAGGCAATGCGCACCATAACCCCGCCATCGGCACAAGCCTCACACTGTACCAAGCTCCTGAGCGGGACTTACACTACATACACCCTTGCCGTGACCCGTAACCCCTTAAGCCTTCAAACCCAAAATCTCAACGAGCATGGCTGCTTCTTCGCGCGATGTCGCTTGCGCAGGGCCCTCAGCAAGAAGCCTGCACTACGACTGAAACTACTCAGAGCATCTTGGGTTCAGGGTTTGTGGTTAGTGTCCGGGCGCAGCAAAGATAGGGCTCAGGGGCTTTCGGACTGAGTAATTCGTGCTACAAGTAACTACGTCAGCAGTCTTCCCCAAGTCCAGGGTTCGTTTTTGTCAAGTTCTGCGTTGCTGGTTCGGATCTAATGCGAGCTGCCTCAACGACATCGAAAATAAGCTACCCTGAAGCCACTGAACCCCTAAACCCCTCAACGGAACCTTTCCCCGCCTACTTCTGAGGTGCTTTCGTAACGATGGCAGAAGCAGGAGGTGCTGAGTTCGCAGGTGCATTGGGGTTCAGTGCAGTGCTTTCGTTCTGACGAATCTTACGCGCATTTCGGAGATTGCCGAATTTGGTCCTCAAGCCCTAGACCAAATACCCTAAACCCTAAACCCATAAAGGTACTATCTCCCCCAGCCCATAAATCACAAAACCGCTACTTGTGGGGATCCCGTGACCGGTGATCTGCATGCAGCCACACGACTCCTGACAGGGTTTTGGGTTTAGGGTT